CCCTCCCCCCCTCTGCTGTGATCTGCAGCAAACAGTACAGCAGTCAGTTTGACCCCTGAAACAGTGCATCTGTGTGCGGGAGTGAAAGTAAAAATTTACCAAATCAATCAATCTTATTGAAAGCAAGAAAAAGGCCAAAAATATGAATGAAAGTTAATTTAGACTTATATCATGATGCACACTCAAGAACAAGTCACACACACCTTTATTAAGTGGCCTTTGTCAAAAAATGGCATGCCCCCCTGTTTTAAGCCTTAATTAATTTGATATTTTACAGTTCTAGGTTTGAAATTTTCTTGAAAATAGTTGATTTGCGACAGTTTTGGTGGCTATACATCATGTGTGATCTGTACAGCGAACAATACTGCAGTTTGACCCCCGAAGCTGTGCGTGTGTGCGGGAGTGAAAGTAAAAATTTACAGTGTGTTTTATTTTATTAATTTTTTACGACAAATTTATTCATGATACGCAAGAAATATTGTGGTTACGAATTGATGAAATGGACGGTTTTCATATTTCATTCTCTGAAATCATTTTCTATCAGTTTTAATAATAATAATAATAGAGATAGCATTTGTATAGAGTATCTAGCGCATATATCCCCGCTCAACAGCAGGCTCTATCTATGCACTACTATATTATTACCCCAGCAGACCATAGAAGTACACTCCGAAACATTCTCAGCTTCCCGGGAAGCATACAGTTTTCTTTGCATTTGTTGATATTATACTGTATTTTCAATTATTTTGTTTTAATGCATCAACAGCACTCTCATCATCATGGATTTCAAAATCCCTTCTTCTCGAGATGACTTGTTGAACACGTCACGAGCTGGGGAATACGGCGTAGAGGAGCTGCTGACTCTGAGGCAGATTCCTGCAGCGTTGCAAGGTTAGCATGGATGAGGTCTTGTGTGGCGAAGAGATATAATATATACATATATATATATATATTATGGTTATGTGAGGCGGCGTGGTGAAATCAGACGCTCGTCAAAATAATGAAAGTGAAGAAACTGGCATTTTTCCGCAGGTTTTGGAATTTTCATCAAATTTTTGTTTTTCGGTTCAACTTCTTTTATGCCCATTTAAATGCATAAAAGATGTTTGTAAGTTTTCAGTTTACACAGGCTCTCAAGCTAAGGAAATAACTTCACTTTTGTGGCCATTTTCTCGCTAATTTTATCTCTAAAACCAGGCGACCCCACCTTCTTCAATTGCAAATTTCTTGACTTGTATCCAGGATAAATGGGTATTGGTTTCATCGAAAGCAAGGCAAATGGACTGGCTTTAAGATACCACTGACTCCATATATATGCCCCAAAATTGATGAGCGCCTGATTCCATCGCGTTGTGACACAAATACATTTGCGAGACTGTTCCTGAAAGTATTCTTTTTTTTCGTCATAGCTGTGAAAAGACATCTGAACTTTAGTTTTGTATTTTGTTGAGGAAGTCTTGATTCTTCTGATGATGACACACAGGCTCAGAGTACTTTAGACTAAGAAAATAGTTGAAGAGGAATTGTGCGTACCCAATAAAAGTAAAAGAATCTGATTTGGGACTTTTGATTTAAGTGCCCGTATGAATTTCAGAACTCAATGCGACAACCTTGGAGGTATAACAATTTTCGTTGGAAGTCGTGTCAAAAGACTTTTCCGGGGCCATAATCTCTAGTTATAAACAATCACAATGAAGCAGCAGGTCCAGAATAATGTGGTGTTGTTGAAGGAAAAAGTCCAGATATATATATCTTAAAAATATCAATTTTTTGTTCATTGCCTTACACAGTCTAGCTTCTCCTCTACCAAAGACCTAAAATTAACTGATTTGGTTAACTTCTAGGCCTTTCCTCAACCAAGTTCCACTAATTTATACAGCTTTTGCTACAACTTCAACTAGATTTCTGTTCCGTCTGATCTGAAGCTTAGCCTGAGAAGTCTGACCTGGGTGTATCCCTGGCATTATGGGAAAGATTTTTGATTCTTTTGTTGGCTCTCATCTCTTTTGTCTTGTTCCTTAGCACTCCTGTCCTTTCCTTTTGCTGACATGACCAGCGTCACCGGGGGTTGCTATTCTCAGCCTGTAGTCTCAGCGTAATTTTCATGGAAGTTTGATTGTTTCTCAACCTGTCTCATGTTGGAAATGTGTTTCAGAATTCAAGTCAGCGTGCCGAGGAACCCCCCACAGTGTGAGAAAACATTTTGACACGCTGTTCAGTGTGTTGTGGTAAGTGTGTTGGTTCCATTGACCAGGAAAAAAACCCTAGAACCTATTGCGGAAGTGCTGCTTCCAAAATACAGATGTTTAAGGTTGTCTTGACTTTATTCAAAGTGCATGTTATTGTTTTCTAGTCTGTTATCAGTAGGACATTTCTGCTTGTATACATTTATCTATTTATACTTTTTTATGTCATATTGTGATGTATTTTAAAATTTATCTTGACACAATATATATATATATATATATATATACGTATTAGATAATAAGTGATCCGTAACTTTTGGGTCCCCACACACACGTTTTCAATAGGTTGGAAAAGTTTAGGATTTTTGTTCATGCACACTTGGCACCTAACTTTTTTCTTTTTGTCTTGAAATTCAATGTTGGCTTTGGGTCATACAGTTTATATAAGTGCGAGGAAGTCCATGTTATAATTCAATTGTCAATGGTGAGAGATTGAGCCAACTTCTACTAAAGTACTTCCTTTATAAAAAGGTAAAAGATGTGGATGGCCTAGAGGAAAAGAAGTACAGAGTGTTGCACAAATAGATGGAAAACTTATCCAATGATAAAATTACTTTTGAAAATATCGGATTAATTAATGCTTTTTTTCTCTCTTTGTTGTTCATTCAGTTTTACAAATCATGTTTCATGTTTTTGGCCTACAGGTGACAGCATGCGAATGTTTCACTCAGTACAGTCTAGAATTAGTTTCTTGTTATGAAAGAGTGCTGCTGTGTATTTAAAAAACGCATATAATCAATGAGACAAATTGTTAAAAGCTTTCTTCCACTGTTTCCCTTTTTTTTTTTTTTCAAATATATTTTAAAAGTGAAATCTTGTAATTTGTGTTGTACATTTACTTCTGGTTTCCTATGACTATGTCTCTCGCACTTTGATCTAGAACCTGTTCTGTCTTCTGTGGTTAAGTCCACCCTGTCTCACAACTTTTGTCCTTGCAGTTTGCAGAGAGATCTTGATGTGAATGTCAAGGAAGAAGCTTGGCTTGGCTTGCTCAAAGGTGGGTTTGATGAAATTAGAGCAATACTGAATTTTTGTATGCAACGTTTGAGAATCCAGTCAGAACAGAACTAGCGGTTTTGAAAGAAATATTTTCAAATGAGTCCTGTTCACATACCATTTATTTAGTTCCAAAAAGCAAATGGTACGAATTTTGATACACACCTGTTCCCATTTATTTGCTTCTAATTCTTTTAGTGTTTGAAGATTTGAACTAGCTTTAATTTTGGAACAACGTTTCTGTCTCATTTTTGTTTATGAGTTTGCTGTAATTTATAAAGTTACCATTCCTATGACATTTTTTATTCAATCTATCTGCAGCTTGCCAGATGTTTGCTGCCAACTTGACAATATTTCTGGATGCTTCTGACCTGGACAGAGAGGAAGTGCCAGATCACCTGAACACCCTGAAGATGTCCGTCTATCTGCTGTGTCAGTTTTTGGAACTGTTTGACTCGGAGACCATCCGGCCCTCGGCTCTTGTGACTGGAAAGGTTTGTTGTCGGAAGAATGTGGGGCCTACAGGCTCATATAAATGGGGGTCAGCAGGCATGCCAACTGTCCCAAATTTCCCGGGACTGTCCTGGATTTGGCAGTCGGGAATTTAAGAGCCTCATTACGTACTACTTCAAAACTATTCCTCTTGATGGAACTTTCCCCGTTTATTTTGTAACATGATGTTTTATAACGCTATGTGTCTCTGACTTGAGTTTTGAAAAGGTTGACAAACCTGGGTCAGTAATATTGTGTTTCCATGAGGATTCATGGACAATGGTGATCATGTTTTAGAATTGGAGGAAGGGTATTTTCGACAGCTGATCCCTCAGTGTGGAATGTCCTTCCACTACATTTAATAGAGGCACCCATGTTGACCGCATTTAAAACTGGTCTATTTTGAATATCTTTTTACCATCTAGTTTGATTCTTTTCCGACAACAGCCTCCGCAGTTGTCTTTGTGTGTGTGTGCGCTCTTTTGTCAGATTACTGGTGTGTGTATCTGTTTGAAAGGATTGTACATTGAATGGCCCGGTGTGCATTACAAATGTCCATGAGTAAGCTGTTGAAATATTATTTGTGTCACTGTGCCGTGGAATCAGGCGCTCGTCAATTTTTGGGCATGTGGGGTTATTGGTATCATCTAAAATTTGATTTGTTTACCTTGCTTCAAATGAAATAAATAACCATCTATCTTTAAAAGAACTCAAGATATTTGCGATTGAAGGAAGTGAGGTCGCCTCGCTTCAGTATGGAAATTAGTGAGAAAATGGCAGCCAAAGTTTGGTGGCTCCAATGGCTAGAGTCCTTGAAAACAGAGAAATGACATTTTGTGCCTTTCATCAATGTTTTTCAGTAAAGTTCACACACAAATGTGTTTTTATATATGGACATAAAAAAGGTAAAGGCAAAAAATAAAAATGTCCAAACTGGCAGAAAAATGCCTGTTTCTCGGATTTCTGTATTTTGAAGAGCGCCTGATTTCACAGCGCTGCCTCACATGTTATTATGAAGCACCAAGAGCCACCAGGGAGTGGGCATTCCAGAAGTATCTCTCTTACTTTCTTTGTTTTTATCATTTTATTTGCTTCTGTATATCTAGAAGATAGAAAATGTGTCATTGCTGTGGTTCATACTGTCACCTCTATTTCTTGTGTAAATGAGACTTAATTTTCTCACATCAACACTATGCAGCATTGTATAAATGTCAGGATTTTGTGATTTCATCCTCGTCACAACTTGCATGTGTTTTCAGGGTCGTGGTAAAAAAACGAAGCAGGCGAACACTGCGATGAACATGGACTGGGAGTACGAGCGCCAGCAAGGCTTGCAGCTTCTCCTCTCTGTCGTTCAGCTGCCGATTCACAAACTGTGGGACCCGCCACTGGTCGAGGAAGAGTTTGTCAGGTGAGGGAGACATCGATCACTCACGCTGAACTAACTGTTGCCATCGCAGTTACAGTTGGTGGCTCACGCTACACTAACTGTTGCCATCGCAGTTACAGTTGGTGGCTCACGCTAAACTGACTGTTGCAATCGCAGTTACAGTTGGTCGCTCATGCTAAACTGACTGTTGCCATCGCAGTTACTGACGACTGTTCACGCTAAACTGACTGTTGCAATCGCATTTACAGACGACAAAAAGTGGTCATTCTGGGAAAGTGTCATTATAATTTTTTAAAGAACCGTCATGGGGCGGGGGAGAGGTATGTTGTACAGATGATTATCTTTGACAGGTGATCGATAGAACAGGTTGGACAGTTATTCTTGACTGCGACAAATGTGTAAAGTTAGTGTCATACGGATGCTTTTTAAAGTTGGGGGG